CGGCGTCAGGACCAGCTCCAGCTCGGGGGTTGCGGGACGTGTTTTTGCGGCTAGGCCTACCGGCATGGCCGGGGTCGGTGTCGGCATGGGCGTTGGCCTCGCCATGGGCCTCGCTGGCATGGAGGCTGTGGGGGCGATGCTGTAACTAGGTGAACGCGCGCCATGTTTGCTTGTTGTTTGGGCCCGGGATGGGATATTCACATGTAGATAATAGCTCATCAAGGAGCAAGAGTAGATACCACCTACCTTATATACCACCTTACCTGCATGTCTGCCCGCCCAAGAGTCTGACCGGCATGACGTGAACGATGAGAGACGCTTTCCAGCCAAAGCCTGTCTCTCCTTTTCAGCTTTCCTGACGTCGGTTCCACACAAGCCGCCTACGCCAAGCTCCAACTCTTCTTCCGCCCCTCCTCCTGTCCCTTCTCCATGCACCGACTCAAGTTTGTTCACTCACCACACCCGCCATGACACTTATAACCACCCTCTCCATCCCACAACGGCCACCCCACAACGAAAAGGCTCCGGGATCGTGGCGCAGTTGGCTAGCGCGTAGGTCTCATAGCTATAACATCTGGCGATATAAAAGCGTCTTTGTCACAGCATATGACCTGAAAAAGGGCAATCCTAAGGTCGTGAGTTCGAGCCTCACCGATCCCATCTTTTGCTGCGCTCACTGGCCAGTGGTTTTGTTTTACGCAGCTTAGTCTTTTTGTAGGACCTGGCCGATAATGATAACCCCGATGTTGTCAGTTCGAGCCTTGTCGATTCCACCATTTTTCTTTAAGCACCGCACTGTCAAGCGGCGGATACAACCTATACCTGCCAGTCGCTAACACCAGGCGGCCCGACGTACTGTTTCCTTTTTACCCTCGACTTAACCTCCCTCTACTGCTTACTATCTTGTTCCTTCTCCTTTTAATAGTTCGATTGCATGCATGCCGAAGCCGGGAGAATTACCCCATCCGTCCTTAGCTCCCAATATCTCCTCTTCTCGTGAACCATCGGGCATCTGAGCGATCCTACGGCTTCTTTCCCCAGCTTTGCCCTGTCCTACCCCAAAACGACCTTCCTATTCAGGCTCGGGTTGCGGCTAGCCTGCCTTTAATTGCCTTTGCAGTCGGGAAGCAGCACTGAGCCACACTCCGCAGCGCCCAATTTCCAGTTATTTTTACTTCCACCAAACATTGAGCTTGTCCAAGCCTTCCCGTGCGGCTGAAGATCATCTGGTGGTGTGGTCCTCGGCTGTCCACCCTGCGGCTGGTCGTGGGGCAGCGAATCATGGGTTGTCCCGTGCCTCCACCATCCGGCCATCGCCACCAATAGCTGAATGGCTACAGCACCCGAAGGCCTTTGCCTTTCCATGGCGCTCACCTCCACCGGATCCTTTCACCGTGGGCCAGATGGATGCGGATCTGGCCGTGTAGCCGTCTAGGCTAATATGCCTCTTAATTGATGGACTCTGGGGAAAATGAGGCCATGGTGATGCGTGTATAAAGGGCGCCGCCCAGCACCCCAATGTTCCTAGAGCCGAGCATACTCCTCACCACAAGGCCACAGACAAGGAAAGAATTATCTGTTTGCTACTTACAAGCCCACAACTATCTCCCCTGAATCACGAGCCCCTTTTCACCATGAAGACCACTCTGCTTGTCATCTCGGTCCTGAGCGCCCTGACGGGGACTTATGCGGCCGTCAACGAGCCTTGCTACAGCACTGGAGGACGTGCAGGTAAGAGAGCCCCTCGTGCCGCCAGATAAAGACCGAATCAAGCCACTTACATCCTCTCCCCTCCCTTCCCACAGGCGTCTGTCTCTCGACCTCGGCGTGCAGCAGCGCGGGCGGCACGACCATCAACGGCGCCTGCCCCGCCGACGCGAACGACATCAAGTGCTGCAGCAAGCCGACCTGCGGCTCGTCGGCCGGAAACTGCCGTTGGACCTCGGACTGCGCGGGCACCTCAACGTCCAACCAGTGCCCGGGCCCCTCGTCCTTCAAGTGCTGCTCGTCCTCGGCCCAGGGCTGGGGCGGCTACAGCACCCCGGGCTACCCGTCCACGTCCAGCGGCTGCAAGCAGGTGGCCATCGACGCCGCCAAGAAGATCGTCGCCGCCTGGCCCGGCCGGGTCCGCGAGATTGGCTGCATCAGGGACTGCACATGCGGCTCCGGCAGTGACCACTGCTGCGGCAAGGCCACGGACATGATGTGCTCGGATGCGGGCGGTGTAAGTTTTTGTCGGAATGTGATCACCACTGACTATGCCTGGCTGACATGATGCCCACTGCGGAACAGACCGCCACCCTCTCCGGCCGCGAGATCGCAGAGTGGGTGATGAACAACCGAGCGACCCTCAACCTCAAGTACGTCATCTGGGGCCAGAAGATCTGGGAAACGAGCCAGGACAGCGTCAAGTCGTGGGACAGCTGGAGGACCATGGAGGACCGGGGCGACGTCACGCAGAACCACTGGTAGGCATGCCCATATACTGTGTGCTGCACATCGATCCCGACTACGCGCTAACAAACTGCTTTTTCAGGGACCACGTTCATGTCAGCTACAACTAGATGGCAGCAGCACAGCAGCGCGAAAAGGAGGGTCCAGTCGCCATGCTTCTGCTAAAGTGAGGCTGCGTCGGGCCCATCTGGGATGGAGGATCCCCAGTGCAGTCGATTCAGGGCCTTTTCGCTCGTTCTTTCTTGTAGTAAAAGCAACAATGCTAGCGAGGCAGGCTTTCTTCCCAGTCAAGCCTCAGAATGACACAAAGCGCCACACACTATTCTACGCTTTTTGGCCGAAGCTGATATGGCAGAGCTCCGAATGTGGGAGGAGCAAACCCTTCCATAGTTTCTTCCTCCTCATGTTCGCCTTCCCAACCAGCCCGAAGGTGAACAGGCCCATTTGAGCGGCGTAAACTGTCCATTTGTAACGTAGGTGATTCATCCAGGTCTTAGTGGGCTACGTTGTACCGAAACGGCAGCTTGGGCATTGCCGCTGCCCATGGTGGACCGCCAGCTATCCCTCTAGATGACACCCAGGTTCCCCCAGGTCACAGCCCAGTTCCTCCTGAATACCTGCCGCTCGCCGGCCGCAGCGCCCAGTTGGCAGCAAGGTGGCAAATTCCTCCTCCACTGTCAACGCTGCGACAACCGCTTGTCTCACGAGTTGCAATAAAGCCTTTTCGCTCGTTATAACGAATTGGGTGATTGTGCTTTTTGGTGTAAACATCCCTAAAAAAACCCCTAGCCTTATGCCAACCCACCAAGATCTTCTATCTCTACACACTGGTTTAAATACTATGAGTACATAAGATCGTCCTGGTCAAGCAGGGGCTAGACCCGAAGGTACATATACTTACGAACATAAACCCGTTCCGCATATGAATTTCCCTTGATAATGTGGTTTAAAAAAACACTCATTGAGTTATAAAGGCGCCATTGAAACGCAAACATAATAGTAAGGAGCTTGAAGATACTGGGGTAGTTTATAATGTGTAGCCTTGTGCGGATCGGTGCTGAGGAGATCGCGGCTCGGCAGAACGAGGTCGCCGAGCGCCTCCTACGCGCGGTCTTGGACCTGGAGGAATCTGTCCGATGCGGATAGGCTCAGGCTGCCCAGCGTCCTCGTGCCTCGGGCGCTAGTTTGGCCAACGCGGGGCCCGCCGCCAGCCGGGTTCTCGCGCGCCCCCGGCTTTGTCGGTCGCGCGTGGCCGCTTGCCCTCCGTGGTCGTTCACCCTCGCCTTCTGCCGATATAGTGTGTAACCGCGTGGCTCCTAGGGCCCAGCATTCTTCGGCGCGACCTTGAGGATATTGGCCCTTGCCTTGCTGCTTCCTGTGGGCTTCGTTTGCTGCGTCCGTAATGCCCTATCTAAGACGGGGGAGTGATTATCAAATTGACGCGTGGATGTGAAGTGATCGAACGTAAAACGGAGTGCTACAACACCTTAGTAGGAATCCCTGAAGAGGGGCTGATCGTTCGATTGAGTAGTGTGTAACTAGGGAGGAAAATCCCCTCCCGAAATCTAGGTAGCTGAAGTCCTAGGGTGGTCTTGTGGGCGTAAAAAGCGTGCCTCGGGCGCCCGCGGTCGATCCCCGAGGACCCCAATAGGGAAAGCAACGCAAATTCAGGAAGGAAGCAAACCAAACCAAACTTTCAGAACTGCCAATCCTCATCCCGGTGTTTATCCCACACCCTTTTGAAGAGCTTAAAAGACTCGGATGCTTTCAGTCCCAGCAACTCCGTCTGGTACACCACAAACTTCTCGACGATCCATTTCGTGGCTAACCTGATTTCGTCGTGTTCCATTCCGGAGTCCAGTCTCATCATGATTCTGGCCGGAATCAGATCCCTCTCCTCCACCTTAATCAAGGAACGGACTCTTTCCGAATGAGACTTCAGGGCTTCGGTGCCGGCAGGACCGGGCTTGTTTCCCGGCTTCTGAGGAGGAGGAACAGGAAGAACGGGATTGATCGGATCGACCGGAGGAGCCGGAAGCACCGGAGGTGTCGGGACTGGCTAGGGAAGAGATTAGTGACATTTGGCTGCCTGCCATCGAGAGCCTGGCGAGTAACCAGGACACTCTATCATACAGTCATCCTTTGGAAATATTATGGCTGGGAAGCATGTAAGACAGGGTAAACCCACAAAAAAGAGAGGTGTGTGTGTCGCATCGAGTATCCCCACGAGAACCCCATCGTCTGGATTGTGCGCGACAAGCCGCACGAGCACGGCACCAGCCCCATGATGGGAAACGACGCAGCAACGAAGCACCCAGCAGCACGTCTACGAGAAGTTCGCGAGGATGATTCTACCGGACCTGAAGCACGGACTGCGCGTCACCGAGGTCTACCGCATCCTGCGAGAACGTTTCTGTTGTACTTTATCTTGCCTGATTATTTGCTCCTCTTTCCTTCCTCCATGTTGTAGAGCTAGATCAAAGATGGCGGCAAGGAAAGTCGTAGTTAATTCGAGATCGAAAAAAAAGACAGATTTCTGGTTGTAGTCGCTTCACGGCGGGATATTTGCAGGAATCAGGATGAACTGGCTTCAAGCCGGGGATTTAAATGCATGATACTTATATTACCAACTTACTACCCTCCCGTCTTCCAGCACACTCTTGCTGGCGACGTTTGGCCCGTCCTGGCCGTCCCCATCGTTATACCATTGGCCCTCCTGGCCCTCCTCCTCCCCTGTTTCCTCCCCCGACTCCTCCACCTCGTCCGGTGTCCTCTCCTCCTCGGTCTCGTCCGTCTCCTCCGCCCGGAGGCTCCACCCGTCCACGTACTCCACCACGACGACCTCCTCCGGCGCCACCTCTCGCGAGAGGGTGGACTTCTTCCTCGGCCGGTAGTTGAACAACCGGAGGTGGTCGGCAGGGCTGGGCTGCTTAGTCAGAACGTCGTCGAACCTCATCCCCAGGTCGTAGAGCCGGGAGAAGGTCTCCCGGTTCTGCCGCCGGCACGCCGAGTCGTGCTGCTCACCCCTGCTCCGTAGGTGGTCTAGGAAGACCGATGGCGGCGGTGGCACCCACTTGCCGTCCCGGTCCATGTGGACCAGGGGGGCGGGCGCGACCTGGTTGCGGCCGACCCGATTGAGGTTGGCCTTGAGCGCATTGCGCTTGGCCTCCCTCAGCAGGTCGCGCTTGACGTACGACATTTGCTTG